ACGAAACACTTAAAAGGACTTTCAGGCATGTTTTCTCCTAAAAGCATTTATTAATGTTACAGATATGTCAGCACAGCATGGTGGAATGCTTAGATCTGCTTCTCTTCCGTTATGCCTAATATTCCAAACCTTTTCCACTCCCTTATTGTAAGGTCATGGTTCACATCTTCCAATCAACTTGGAAGATGTGATTTACTTCTGGTTTCTTTCTCCCGGGCTATCCCTATGCTCCTCCCTCTTTCCCAGTTGCTGGTTTAACTATATATATATACCAGACAGTTCTGCACATTGTCAAAGCAAGAATATACAGTATTTGCAGCGTTGACACAAGCGCTTTCATACGCACAATGCCCGGATGTCCCTCATGCAGAGAGGACAAGACTCTAGACCTCAGTGAGGCAGGGATAACTACTCTACTACCTCATAACAGGCACCCCTTAAATGTAGACAGTTTGTGCCTCCTTTGCCAGAAGTTTTGAAACGCAGCATCTGGACACGTGTCAGGCCATCCTGACAACACCCATGTCAGCACGCATGTAAGCGTGTGATCAGTGACAGTTTCTGCAGCCACATCCCTAGCATTGAGGGGAGATTCAGGCAGCTCCTGAATAGAGAGAATATTAACAGCAGGGGCAGGATCTGCCTCTATTTGTGAGAGAGGTAGCCTACTGAGGCCATCTGGATGGCCCATTTCTTTCCCAGGTTTGTGAATAAGTGTGTAGTCATATGCTGACAGGAAAATGGACCACCTCAGCATACGTGGGGATATGATGTGTGGGGTTTGTTTGGTCGTTGTAAACAAACCCAGCAATGGCTTGTGGTCTGTATAGACCATGAAGTGGCGGCCATATAAGAAATCATGGAATTTCTTTATGCCAGCCACTATGGCCAAAGCTTCTCTGTCAATCTGAGCGTAATTCCACTCTGTAGATGACAGAGTCCTTGAGTAGTAAGCCACAGGGACTTGTGTCCCGTCAGCCTTCAGGTGACTGAGTACTACACCCACCCCATAAGGGGATGCATCACAAGCGATGCACACAGGCAGTTGCTCGTTAAAATGTGCTAATACAACATTTGATGAGAGCAAGGCCTTGACCTCTTTAAAACTCCTGTCATGGACCTTAGTCCACTGCCAAGGAACTTGCTTATCTAAGAGCCGGTGTAATGGCTCAGCCATTGTAGCCTTATGGGGAAGAAAAGCATGATAGAAGTTGAGAAGTCCCAAGAAAGAATGAAGCTTACTTTTAGACTTGGGACTTGGGGCCTCCTGAATGGCCTTCAGTTTGGATTCTGCAGGGTGGATGCCTTGAGCATCTATTTTAAAACCTAAAAATTCTGTGGAAGTAACTCCAATTTTGCATTTGTCTTTTTTCAATTTGAGGCCCGCTTGGCGGAACCTCAGCAACACAGCCCGTAACCTGTCAGCCAAATTCTGTGATGACTCCCCTGCGATGAGAACATCATCGAAGTACGGGCAAATCCCCGGAATACCCCTGAGCGTGTGCTCCATGACGCTCTGAAATATGCCAGGAGCAACATTCACCCCCAATTGTAACCTTTTTACCTTAAAAGCACCCCTAAGGGTCACTATTGTTTGGGCCTCAGCAGTTGCCTCATCACCAGATAGCTGTTGATAGCCCTGTGCTAAATCAAGCTTTGCAAACAGCTTTCCCCTTTGAGGGAGGCCAGAATATGACTCACTACTGGTACAGGATATGCATGCTGTTGCAAAGCTTTATTCAAAGTACATGTATAGTCCGTGCAAATTCGGACTTCCCCATTAGCCTTTAAAGGCGTTACAATGGGGGTTTCCCATGGACTTGAGTCCACAGGTTCCAAGATGCCCTGCTGGAGCAGCTTGTCCAGCTCAGCATCAATCTTGCCCTTGAGGCCGAAGGGCACCCTCCTAGGCTTAATCCTAACCGGTGTGATGTTTGGGTCTAACCGCAGGGCAATGTGAGGCCCCTTGTATGAACCAAGCTCTGAACTAAACACATCCACAAACTCTCTGCAGACTTCTGCAATTCCTGGAGTTTGCAGGCTGTGTAGGCCAGTTACCTGGATTCCCAGGGCCTCGAATCAATCGAGTCCAATTAGACTTGTACGATCACCCCCAACAACCACCACATCTAATAGGCCTTGGAAAGCCTTACACTGCATTTTGAGCATGGCTTCTCCAAGTACATTAACCCTTGAATTTTGAAAGTCAGTAAGCATTAAGTTCGATGGCCTGAGTTTGACTCGAAGGCCACTACTGCTGCAAATTTTTTTAAAGGTATTGTGTGAAATGATCGATAGAGCGGACCCGGTATCCAGCTCCATCGATAAGGGAATCCCTTGTAATTTCACATCAATGTGAAGTTTCTGTTTAAGTGGCTTGAGTGTCCCTGTCTGCAAAATGCTTCTACGCGACGCGCAGAAACCCACCCTGTGTTGGCTGGGGACCCTGGTACCTTTCTAAAGGAATTCTTCCCTAGGTTGCACCTGCTGGCGACCCAAACAAACGGTGGCAATGTGGCCTTGCTTACCACATGCTCGGCAAATGGTGGAGCGGAACTGGCAGTCCATGCACTTGTGGCGTTCTTCGCAACCGAGACACTGAAGGGCTGCTGGGGCCTTGTCTGGTTTCTCTCGTGGCCTTCTTACCACAGGCTGGTGAAGTCTGTCCACCTCCTCTTCAGGATCCAGGTCTGGAACCTCTTGAGCGACCTCTTGATGGACAGTCGCGATGGCTGGAGCGTTTCTGGCAAGCCGCAAGGCCTTCACAGCGCCGCCTGCTACTTCTTCAGCTACAACTTCGCGCAAGACATCTTGGAAAGTGACTTCAGCTTTAGCAAAGATTTTTTGTTGCAGCGCTCTGCTTCTAAGGCCGCAGACGAAGCGGTCTCATAAGCATTCTTCCAGGTCCTTGAATTCACAAGGCCTGGCAGCTTGTCTCAAGGCAGCGATGAATTCTGCGGCAGACTCACCTGGCTTCTGGTCCCTCTGCTCAAAAGCATGCCTCCATGCAATTACAGACAGTTTGGGATGGAAGTGATCCTTCAGCATGTTTTTTAAATCTATGTAGGTGACAGACTCCAGCGGTGCAGGGACTACCAGGTTTTTGGCCACGTCGAAGGTGTCCTGACCGCAGACGCACAGCAGGGTTGCCGCTTTCAGGCCGTTTTCCCGGACCTGGTTAACCCTTAGGTAATTTTCTACCCGGGCCACATAGGAGTTCCAGCGCTCCGGGTGAGAAATGTCGAATTCTGACAAGCATCCTATCTTCGACATCTTCAGCTTTGGAATGCCTTGCTGCAAGCCTTCATTGGGGAAAGGGCCCGTTTGCCAAGCTCACCTCCAGTGATGCTGTACTGGCAGGTGAGTGCAGAGCTAGACGCCGACTTCCCAGGCTTCAGGATCTTCAGATGAGGCTTACCCTCTTCTTATTGCCTTCTTCCTTGCAGCGATCCCACCCTCGTTGCCACTTTTATGTTTTGGAGTTCGCGGCATTGAAGCAAGAGACATGTTGTCATCAAGTACATTCTTTATTCGTTCCTCAACTCAACTTGCAACCAAGCAGGCATGCAGGCCTTTTATAGTCTCCCAAACCCCAGGCAGTCCAGCCAATAGGGAAGAACCTTTTTTCATGCCTTGCGCACGCGCACAAGTCCGGCGCCAGCCAGTCTGGTCCCGGGCAGCTTTATGGTTGCTCGGGACCGTTTGCAACATTTCTGGGCCTGCTGAAATGCTTCAGCAGGCCCAGGACACAACAATTATCATAATGGATTCTGGCACTATAGAAATAGGACAGCCAAGTAAATAAGTTAGCAGGGTTGCAAGCCATCCCAATTCCTTCCTTAGATTGTAGAACCACTGTAGCCTTAAAAGCTAAAACCAGCTTATATGGTAAGGATCATAATATGTATATATTAAAATCCAATTCTGTGGGTTTTAGAAGCAGCATTGGAAATATTTTTCTAGTCATCTTAAACCAAACTTCTTCTTATTGCTGTTGTTAAAATAATAATGCTTATCATTTAATACAGCATGCCTGGCTGAGGAATTCTGGGAGTTGAAGTCCACAAGTCATAAAAGGGCCAAGTTTGAAGACCCTGATTTAATATCTGCTAAAGTAAAACAAAAAAAGAGGAGATTTTAGGTGAAATTAGAAACTGATTAGGAAAACATCCAGAGGATTTGATTTGATTTGATAGTCCACTGTTTGTGCCTGCAAGAAATTGTTAAATAAGTAAATTTCTGCATACCCATCCATATATCCCTTACCTTTGTTATCCTGTTGTGCATCTCACGGACTTTGTCAGGCCTCTCTTCTATATATTTTCTTAACAACAGAGTCTCACACTCCACCAGTTTACAGAATCCATGGTTAGAACAGAGTGAAGCACATGTTCTCCTCACCAACCGCCTTGCTTTTTCAAATGGTATTATGAATTTATCCCATTGCTGAAGTCTGGCAAACCTAAAAGATAAACTCACATGTTAGGTAGAAGGAGAATCAACCCTTCCCTTGTGAGATGTACAGAAACATGAGTTTTCAGAATGAAAGGAAATTGAGGCCAAAAATGTATAATCTTTATACTATCGTCTCCTTTCATATTTAAGGTTATTTAGAAATCTAATTATTTTATCAAAAAACCAACTAATATTGGAAAAAAAGAAATGGATGATGGAAGTTGATAGGAATGTGATTTATAAGACAGAGAATTAGAATTACATACACTTTACATTGGTAACATTGGTCCTTGGAAATCCACTACAGGTTTTTTTTTGTCACACCATACAAAAAGTTCCAGCTAGCCCAATCATTCATTTAATTAAATTCAGTTAAACAACTTACTATCAGATGCCAAGATTTACTTAATTTGGTATACAACAGTGGGTGTAGATTGAAGTGTGTTTCTGATTCTTTGGCTCTTCATGACTTAAAAATCACAAGAGATAAGAAGTATTTAGGCAGAGAATTAATTTCCTTTCTATATCAGTCCTTTATGACTCTTTCACAGAAAATCCTGTTTCTGTTTAAAATATGTTTCACTAATCATTGCTCAGGTCAGAAGAAGATTCAGATACACACATCCATAGAGAACAATGCCGCCTCCAACAGTAACACTGAGTTCCAGGAAGCCAGGGATCAACCTATAAATTTCTATCTTACAATATAAAAAGGGAAACTATCACATCATATAATAGCATTACAAAAAATTAGTTACCAAATTGCCAGAGAAGAATACAAGCTCAACATGATGTTGTTTTGAGACATAAGGATGCAGTTTGTTTCATTAGCGAGAATAAAATCCTGGCAGTACTTAAATGGCTTAAAACAAAATCCTGGGGGGAGGGGAAAAAGTATCATTAAGCATGTATCACTGGCTATGATTCCAGTCATAGTTGAATATGTCCAAATGTTCAATAGCACATAGTAGATAACATATATCAACAGTATTAAGATTTGCATCATTTGAAGAAAAACTCAGTCAAATAACTCCATTGTTCATGGAATCTAGGAATATTGTATGGATAGCAAATATCAGCAGATCTGCAATGCCTATTTGGCAGTATCTTAATATCGCTAGGCACATAGAGGAAGAACCATGTTTAGAATTGGGATCTTGATAATAGGTCAGGAAAAAATAATAATTAAATATATAAAGCTGTACTGTTGGAGCCTAAACATGGCTGAAAATTATCTTGCATCATTCCTTATTTTATAACCCCTTGTTAACCTGAACATATTCAATCTTGACAAGGTTAAAGTTGCCCCCAATAAAACTATTACTTGCCCTAACCCTAGTACAGGGGTGTCAAACTCGCAACATCACGTGACGTGTCGTGACATATCACAACTTTTTTGCCATTGCCGGCAATGGGGTGGGCGCGGTTTCGCTATGATGCATCCAGCCCATAGGCCAGCAGTTTGACACCCCTGCCCTAGTACAACAACAAAAGATACAAAAAGTCAAAGATCAAAAAAGAGAAAGGGATGAAAATGCCATGTTCTGCTGAAGAAAATCTTTATTAATGAGGCCTGAGAAGTTTTCAATGTTTGCTCTTCAAAAATATCTGTCAGAAATATTTGGATCTGATTAATAAAGCTTTTCTTCTAACATCGGGTCTTTTTGTCTTTCTTTCTGCTCATGGTTCAAGTCATGCCATGGGATAGAAATACTGTGAGACATCCTAATTTACCATAAATGTCAAAAGAGAAAAGTTCTCCTAGAACAGTGATGGTGAACCTTTTAGAGATTGAGTGCCCAAACCACAACCCAAAACTCAGTTATTTATCGCAAAGTGCCAGGGCCGCATCAGCATTGTGGTGCCCTCAGGGGGGCATGGGGGTGTGGCCCACTGGGTGGGCATGGCTCCAGTTGTCATGGCAGACTGGGTGGGTGTGGCTGGGGTGGGCATGGCCACCTTGATGTTGCTCATGGGGGGGCACCTGTGGGGGCCAGGCAGGGTTGGAGGAGATCCAGGAGGTCTCTGGTGGGTGGGCGGTGGGCAGGAGGCCCAGCATAGATGGGGGAGAGGCACGCAATCCTAGCTAGGACTGGGGGGCCATGGTGCCGATGGGGATCTGGCTTTCCCTGCTCGGGGTGGCCTTTAGCTTGCTGGCTGTGGGCGTGCTCCACCTCTACTCGAGCTTGCTAGCTGGCAGCTTTGCCTCCTTTGTGCTGGGTTGGGCAGCCGCTCCGGGCAGTGGCGGCCTACTGGACCTGTGCAAGCTGCTGGCAGCAGCAGCGTGCGTGCCCATAGAGAGAGCTCTGAGTGCCGCCTCTGGTACGCGTGCCATAGGTTCGCCACCACTGTCCTAGAATGACTATTAGTATTTCATGTTGGTGTCCTTTTATTTTCAAAATATTCCTGATGGTAATCATTTTGGCTAATTTGTTAATGTTAAAATGAACTTTCTTTAACCTTTCTATATTTGCACAAAGTCTTTACTGTTAAAATAATATGTAACCTTACTATTAAAGTTACATATTCAGGTGATATCTCACCTGAAATTATATTTTCCAAGTTTATCCTATGTCTAAGAAGTAAAGCTTTCTTCAAATCAATCTGAACTCTGGTATATATGTGTTATATAGACATGATCAGGACTTGGTTACATTACTGGCTATTGGGTAGAACTGGTTAGCAGGTGGTTGTCAAATTACAATTTGGATTCAGAAAAGGCAGTTCATTTCCTTAATATATTTTTTTCTGATTATATATTAATGTTAATTTTGATAGTGATTTACCTTCTAGGGTTAGGAGGAATATTTAATAACATAAATTATGTTTAAATTTAATGATGGTATAAGTGATTGGGTATTTTATCACGTTATTGTCTGTCTTTTAATTATTGTACAGACACACTGCCATGACAACATTTTGTTGAAAGGTAGATATAATTGTTTTTAATGTCTTTTTCTTACTTCAAACCTGCATTTTAGATACTGCGTAAAGGACTCTGCACTTACCAGCATAAAGTATAATGTTCAGGCAGCCTGAAATGAAGAGGGACTGTCCAATGATATTGTCATCTCGAAAGGTGAGATCTTCTAGGCAACTCAACACTTGCACAGAATCTTGATATCTAAGAAGAAGCAGGAGGAAACATCTCTATGCAGTGCAAGAACCTGGTTCCCAAAAGGGTTGTCTTGATTTGTTGTGAAAACTTGGTAACTGTGTATGTGCCTGAGGATGACAGCAGTGTAAGCATTATATATAAACATGGACCCTCTAAGAACTTATTGTTAATTGTTATTGGTAGATTTGTGGTTTGTGCTGAGAATAAAAAAAAACACATGAAATGGATGACTATATAAATTTGGCAATGAAATATATAAAATATATTGGCCAGACTGTTCATTCACATACAGAAGGTTTATTTCTCTATATATATATGTAATGTAAGTATGTAAAAACATTCTCTAATGTGTGCATGACTTACATAGGTAGTTTACATTATATACATATTTGCATGGGTATTGAAATATTTCATGTACATTATCCACAATTTAAGCAACATAAGAAATATATTTAATCTTGAAGACATATTTGGCTTGGAGAAGTATATTGGTGTTACATATCAAAGTGGGCAAACTGCATCCATGCAACATGTGTGTTGTTTGTACATGCCTGGAATCACACTAAAAACACACCAAGAGGAATAGTCCTTCACTATAATAAAGTTTAAAACAGCTTCCACTGATATCAGTAAAAACTATTTTGAAGTTTCACTACAGAGTAGAGAAAATGTTTGAAGAAAGGTTGCCCAAACACTCTCTTCCTCAATAGAGGCTCTCTCCTATACACAGACAAATGTTTTCACTGAGAAGTTAAAACACTTTGACACCCATTAATACTTAAGCTCTTGCTTTTCCTGACCTAGTGACAACCATGATTCTTTTTCTAGTTTTTGAAGCTCGACAGATGGATTTGTAATTGACTGACCAACCACACTCAGCGAGTAGTCTTCAATGGAACTACATTGACATGGAAGGAAATATGCAGTGGGGTACCCCAAGGTTTGGTCTTGGGCCCAGTACTCTTTAACATCTTCATAATGATATAAATTAGGGGTCTTCAAGCTTGGCCCTTTTATGACTTGTGGACTTCAACTCCCAGAATTCATCAGCCAGGCGTGCCAGGCCAAGTTTGAAGACCCCTGATCTAGATGATAGGATAGAAGGGGAACTCATCAAATATGTAGATGGCATCAAACTGGAGGGAATAGCCAACACTTTAGAAGATAGGCTCAAGACCCAGAAGGATCTTGGCAGACTTGAACATTGGGCCCTATCCAGTAGAGGTGAGAAAAGTAAGATCCTGTGCTTAGACAGGAAAAATAAAATGCACAGTTTAGAACAGGCAGTCCCTCGCTTAACAGTAATAACTGTGACAGGGATCTAAGTGTTCTAATGGAACACCACTTAATTATGAGCCAACAGAGTGCTGCAACTGCCAGGATGCATCAACAGAGTGATAGCATCAAGACAATGAGAAGTGATAGTACCAATTTACACCGCATTGGTGAAACCACATTTGGAATATTGCATTAGTTCTGGTCACCATGATAGAAAAAAGAGACCCTGGAAAGTGTGCAGAGAAGAGCAACAAAGATGATAATGGGTCTGGAGGCTAAACCATGTGATGGTTGAGGGAGCTATTTGTCTAGTCTATCAAAGAAAAGGATCAGGGCAGAGATAACTGTCTTCCAATACTTAAAATGCTGTCATAGAGAAGAGGGGATTGACTTATTCTCTAGGACATCAGAGGCCAGGACAAGAAATAATGGTGGAAGCTTGTTAAAGAGAGATCCTACCTAGAAGTAAGGACACATTTTCTGACAAAGCAATTAATCAATTATTAATTAATCAGCTTGTTTCCTGGGGTTGCAGGTATTCTATCACTGGAGGTTTACAAAAATAGATGGGACAAGCATTTGACTGGGATGTATAAAGTTCCTGCCATGAGCAGGGGACTGGACTAGAAGACATCCGAGATACCTTCCAGCCCTATGATTCTAAGGACAAAGTGAAGGAATTGTGACAGTGATGGCTAGAAGAGGGGTGGAACTAAGGAACAGAAAGTCAAAAGCTAGAACTGATATGCTATAGATAGTAATGTCATCATACTTAAGAAAGCATGTCTGTCAGACTACTGTGCTCTCTGCTGAACTTGCATTGTGAGAACTATTCAGCTTTGAGACTGCAAACTATATTTTTTCTGATTTTTATTCTTTTATCTTGCAAAAGAGAAATACTAATCTTTATATCTGAATTTTAATATTATAGAAAGAAAGAAATAATATAAGCTTTAACTGTAATTTTCTAAAGAACAAGGAATTATTTTGTGGGATCAACTTTGGCCATCCCATCTGAAATAGAAAGCTCTTTTTATAGTAATTTAGTTAAATTTTCTAGGATTTCTCTTTTTCATATAATTTTTTTATTTAGGCATACTTGTTCATTATTTTACTAAACCTGGAGGAAGAGGGAAATCATTTTTAGGACCTAAGCCAAAGCATAAACCTCATGACAATCAACCAGGTGGTAAATAACAGACAAAGAAGAAAACAATAAACAAAGCAATGTAGTCATTCCATACATTGCAGGAATATCGGAAACCAGGAGGATATTCACTCAATACATCATATGTGCATGCTTCAAACCAAGAATACACTAAGACAAAAGCTTGCCCACCCTAAGGATAAAACACCCAGATACAAACTGAACATGGTATATGCAGTACAATGTAGTGAGCTATGTGCAGGTCAACTACTTCATAAATGCATGGCACAGCACAGGAGAACAAACCCATCAGGAAAAAAATTCAGCAGTTCATCTGCATTTAAAAAACAAAGGGCACACTTTCAAAGGCAGCAAAGTCCACATTTTGGACAGAGAGGACCACTGGTTTGAAAGACGGGTCAAAGAGGCCATATTGAGCTATGAACCCTACTGTCTTTAGACACCATAGTGCTGCTAGCTTGCCAACAGTTATGGGGGAATGGGAAGGAACAGTTTGGGATTCACAGGTGCTCCCTATAAGTGTGAGAGCTGAAACCGTTGAGAGAATGTTTTGATGGCCTGAAGTTTCTTCTCATAACAATTGCTGGAAGATTTATTGGACAAATTGACCTGAACTGTTAGAGAGGGAAGGAAAAGTTTTATTCTTTTAATTATCTGTTTCCTGCCATTGCTTCAGAGTTAGTTTCATTCTACCTTGATGGATTGATCATGCCTAATAAAGTTAACATTGGAGTTCACAATGCCTCTGGTGTTTTTCTTAGTTGGGCTTTTCAGCTGGAATATGACAGGCCATCTATGTCAAAATTGAACAACCCTCTCTCAACAGAGGGTGAGGGATATGACATTATCAATCTCCAGTCTACAACATATTCCTTTCAACAGTTCCAAGAAGGCTCCACACCCATTTGCACTACTCAGGTGACCCTGATGACACAGATAAACCTCCAGGTGGCCTCAACGATTCTCTAAAAGAATGCAAATGACCAGCTGCCTGCAAGGAGTATAAAAATCCTTCCATTCCCCACCATCCAGTCAGAGCTGAAGAAGCTTCTTGGAAGAGAAGCGAAACATCTTCAAAGAAAAACAAGAAAGTCCAGTTGCCTCATGAAAAAGCATCTTTGGGAGTCCAGCCTATCGAAAACAGTATCATAAAAGACAGGATAGGAATACAAAATAGGCAAGGAAATGATAAAGAACACCTATCCTCTCTAGATGTATTCAAATCACCAGGACACATGAATTATATTCCAGGGTTCTGAAGGAGCTGGCAGACACAATCTCAGAACTACTGAACCAAATCTTTCAAAGCTCCTTGAGCACTAGGAACTACCATAGGATTGTAAAAGAGTCAATGTGGTTTCAGGAAACCACAAACCAGTCAGCCTGATATCAATACCTGAGGAAATCCTGGAAAAGATATCAAGCAAAGGATCTGCAAACATCTAGAAATGGGCAAAGCTATTACTAAAAGCCAACATGGGTTTGATAAAACTGATCATGCCAAAGAAATCTTATTGCATTCTTTGACAAACTGACTATTAGTGGATCAGTGAAATACTGTGGATATTGTTTATTTAACTTCAGCAAGACATTTGACAAAGTAGACCACAGCCTACTTCTTGAAAAGAAAAATCTGAGATAGTGTCAGAATCCAATTATATTTCATTTTAGCTACTTACTCTTATAAAAACCCATTTCTTACTCTCTCTGGATTCTGTCATACTACGAAAGGGGAGGAGGATAAGCAAGGGGTTTTTATGACTCTCACTTCCTTCATTAAACTACAAAGTGAGTAGATGTAGATTCTCATCAAGAGGACTGACCATAACAATATGGCCATCGCCTTTCATCTACTCTCTCTGAAGTCTCCCTTTTGCCAGCAGTGAGGGAAAAGGGGGGAACAATGCAACCCCTAGGATCTGGGAAAAGAGAGGATGAGTGATCATCGTCCGGAAGAACTGTGGGGTGGGGGCTGCTTGTGAACACTTTAAAACATTGAAGGATGGGAGAGAATTCCCCAGATCCTGTCTAGCATGCCTGCAATCATTTTCTCTTAATAAAGATGCCTGTTGGAAGAGACATTCCAAGAGTTCAGTCTTCTTAAGATGTAAAGTGAGGTGGGTTCTTACAGATAGCATTATCACGCAATGGATTCATAATTGGATGACCAATTGCACTCAGTGTGTAATCCTTAATGTAACTATACGTACATAGAGGGAAGTATGCAGTGGAGTACCCGAAAGTCTTAGGGCCAGTATTCATTAACAACTTTGTAAATGATTTAGATGAGGGAATACAAGGGGAACTCATCAAATTTGCAGATGACACCAAGCTGGAGGGAATAGCCAATACTTTAGAAAATAGGCTCAAGACCCAGAAAGATCTTGGCAGACTTGAACACTGGGCCCTATCCAATAAGATGCAGTTCAGTAGTGAAAAAAGTAAGGTCCTGTGTTTAGGCAGGAAAAACCAAATGCACAGTATAGAATAGGCAGTCTCTGGCTCAACAGTAGTATCTATGAGAGGGATTTTGGAGTACTAGGGGACAATCATTTAAATA